CCCCCGCCGCCGCCCCCGCCCCCGCCGGCGCCTCCCTCGCGGCCGGCCCACGCGCTTCCTCTCTGCGTCCAGATCTTCTGGATGTGCGGCTCCATGCTGATCATCGCGCTGGCCATGTGGGCGGTGCCCACGCTGGGTTGGAGGTGGATGATCCGCATCTCGGTGGCGCCCAGCGTGGCGCTCCTCTACCTCTTCAAGGTCGCCGCCGGACGTGCGCGAGATGGGCCCGCGCGCGCCGGGCCGAGCCAAAGTTGACCTTTGTCCCGTCCCTCCTTCAGTTCATTCCCGAGTCGGCCCGCTTCAACGTGTCGGCGGGCAACGCCGCCGCCGCCGCCGACACGCTCGGGTGGATCGCCAAGATGAACAAAGCCTCCCTGCCGCCCGGGCGTCTGGCGGACACGGTGGCGGTGCGTTCGGGGCCGGGGGGGCCGAAGCTTGAAATCCTTCCGTCTCCGTCCGTCACGTTCGGGCGGGCCGCTCCACGTGTCCGAGAGGCGGACGGATTGGGAACGCGGGCCGGTTTTGGCTCCGGCGGGACAAATGTCTCTGTGTCTTTGTTTCTCCCCGTCTCAGGCTCGTCCGCGCGGTCCCTTTTTGTCTTTCAGAAGCAGAGGGGCAGCTGGAGGCTTCTGCTCAATTCCGCCTTCAGGAGGACCTCCTCGCTCCTCTGGTACTCGTGGTGAGTCGCCGCTCGGGTCGCGGCGCCGAGCCGGAAAGCCCGCGCTCACGTCCCGCCGTCAGGTTCGTGGCCTCCTTCGCCTACTACGGCGCCGTTCTGAGCGGCTCGGAGCTCCTGGAGAAGAACTTGCTGTGCGTGACGGACGGCGAGCGCGCGCATCAGCCGGAGAAGCGCCCGGAGGACGGCCGCTGTTACTGCGTCCCCTTCGCTGCCGGCGACTACCGCACTCTCCTCATCAGCTGCCTGGGGGAGCTCGCGCGTGAGTCCCGCGCCGGGGGCACGCTCGGACCCCCCGCGTCGCGCTGGCGGTTTTGGCCGAGCGGGCGCGCGCCCGTTAAACCCGCGTCTGTCTCGCCAGTCATCCCGGTCAACGTCTTCCTGCTGAACACGTTTGGCCGGCGCAAGACTTTGATGCTGCTGCAGTCGGCGACGGGCCTTTCCTTCCTCATGCTGAGCATCTGCACCAGCACGTAAGAAGCGCCGCCTCGCCCCGCCCCGCCCCGGCCTCATCCCTTCTCACCGTCGGGCTGCGCCGTCAGGCTGGGCTTCACCTTCCTTCTGCTGCTGCTGCGCTCGATGGTCTCCGTGAACTTCACGGCGGTTTATATCTACACCGCCGAGGTAGGCCGTCCGCACTTTGCCCGGGACGTTTCTCCGGAAGGCGCGCTCAGCGGGCGCTTTGCGGTCTCGCAGGTCTACCCCACCGTGTCGCGCTCGCTCGGGATGGGCTTCTGCACGTCGGTCAGTCGCATCGGAGGAATGATCGCTCCCTTCGTCGCTCAGGTCATTTCCGGCCGCCGCTCGCTTTTGCCGGCTCGGGCCGGTCGTCGTTCTTTTCAAGCCGGCGGATCGCGGAGGCCCGAAGTCGAGCCGAAGCCCCTCCCCTCGGCAGGCGGCTCGGAAATGATCCCGCTTTTTCGCGGTCGGCGTCATGGCCCGACTTGGCCGCGTGCGTGCGTGCGTGACGCCGTTCTGCGTCTGCTTCAGGTGCTCATGTCTCGGTCGGTGATTCTGGCGCTGAGTCCCTTTAGCGTCGCGTGCGGCCTCTGCGCCGTGGCAAGCTTCCTGTTGCCCATCGAAACTAAAGGTCGAGCGCTGCTGGTACGTACGTACGTGGGGGGTGGGGGGGGGCAGCCTTTGCAACCTGCTCCCCGTTCTTGGTTTTGGAACAAACTCATCAGCTCGTCTTTGTTTTTTGTCTTTTCCAGCAAATCTCTTGATTGCCACCGCAAAAAGCTTTTGTCCCGCGCCATGAAAACAAGATGTGGCAGCACGCCGGGGCCCGCACAGTCCGCACGCCCCACACGCCCCGCAATGCCCCGCAATGCCCCGCTCCCCCTCAAAGTTTGGAGTTTTGGAATTTCAGCTCAAACCTTGCGCATTTTAGTTTTTTCCTTTCTCTGCCGCATTCCAACATGAGGCAGAGGCGTGCCGACCTGTTGGTCGAATTTGTGCCCTTCATGCTGTACAGTGGACCCTCCCCCAAAATCTGCAAAGAATTGGCGTCGATTGTAGTTGCCTTGGGGGGGACAAAAAAAAATGGATCGAGGGATTAGCTAAAAACAAAAAGTTGGGCGATATGATCCCCGAAGCAACATCGGCAAAGAAGTGAAGTTGCTCGTGCCGAAGCGCGCCACCGACTATCAAGCGGCGGAAGGCGGGCGGCTCGATGGGACTTGATTTCCCGGCGCCGCCGCTGGCGGATTCTGACAGGAGCGCAAGTGGCGGCCAACACCTCCTGGCACCCATGGCGCTCTTCAGAGGACCGCTCCAAAATTCTATTTTTCCAAACAAAATTGAAACTATTTGCTGCCTGCACCATGTTAAGTTCAAGAAAATTAAAAAACCAAAACAACATACAACGTATGTTCAGTACGCCGGAATTGGCGCAGTTGCTTCCGCCCGTCTGCGTCCCTCCCGCTGCGCGCCGCTCGCCCTTGCCCCCTTCTCCTCCTGGCTCGGCCCAAATGGAGGGGAGGGAAGGGGAGGGGGGGGCAAGCAGCCACCGGTCTGGCAGCAGGGCGCCCGGGCGTCCCTTGCATCGCCGCTCCCGCGAGGTCGGGCGAGCGCGGGCTGGCTTTGCTCAACGCTTGACCAACAGAAGAAGCCACGAATCCCACGCCGGCTCCATCGACC